GAGGCACGCGAGGAGCTTCGACGCTTTGATGACGTCGGCGTCGTGGAGCGTGGATGCAACCAGACTCTGTGCGCTGACCGAGTAGCGCAAGACGAGGGCGACGTCCGAGACAAAGTCCGACTTGCACTTGGTCTGGGCCTGCGCCAGCACGTGGCGGGCGTGGTCAAGCGCCTTGCCCGAGCCCTCGTAGCCGCGGTGGAGCTCGAGAAACTCGATCGAGCGCAAAAGCTTGTGCATCGTCTTGATGTAGCGCTCTTGGTCGTACTTGGCGCCTTGCTGCAGCACAGTGGCGACCTACATAGCAGAATACTGAGGCAGCGATGTCGAGCGTCGCCTTGAGTACGTCGCTGGCAGTCGTAAAGTTTTCGTTCACCGCACGCAGCTCGAGCACGCTAATGTCAATGTTCTTTTGCGTCTCGCGCAGCTTCTCGGTGAGGCTGTAGATGGGCATCATCTGCCCCTCGAGTCGGTCGAGGCCGCCCTTGAAGCCGACAAGGATCGAGTTGACCGACGCCAGCTGCGCCTGCGCATACATAGCCGCTGTCATCTCACCTCGCATGCCGCCATGTACCTTGCTGTCAGCCATGGCCGCGCGGATCGCCGCGACAGCGTCGTCCTGGCACCGCTCAACCTCCATCTCAAGAACTCCAAGGCCGTTTCAGGCTACATTTAGGAAAGAAGCACCGAAATGGCGCCCTGAAATAAGGCGTCACCTGCTGCAACTAGGTGCAATGTGGGCGGCATGGGGCCAGGAAGCGAACGTGTGCAGATCGCTCTTGCACGTACGCCAGCACGAAGTAGGGACATTCTGCGTCAAGGATCTGCTTGCTGCGAGAGACAACGAGGTTTTCTATCACAAACCAGTTTAACGCATTGGATTGTGACGTTTAAACATTTAACGTGCATATCCTATGCGTTTTACCTCGATCGTGCAATCTACGTGTTGTCGCAGCTTCTCGATGATAAGCAGCCGAAGATCTGCTGCCGCCGCCGAAGAAGATCTCGCATCTCGTCCTGCACGGCGCAGGATTTGGCCGGCTGCGAATCGCAAATGTGATTCGGAAAGGCGCACCTACTTCAACCTTTGGCACACAAAAAAAGGATTCCGCAGGATACCGGAGTTTCAAGATTCCCAGTCCGAGAGCATGCGGAGCGATGCAAGTCCTGACCGTCGCATCTCGTTCGACGACGACGACGCTGGCACGTTCTCGGTGCTCATGAGCCCAGCGGCAGGCGCGTTACTGCCCAAGCTGCCGCTCTCGCGCGTCCGCCCGCCATCGCGCCACGCGCCTCCGTCGCCACTCGACCTACGGTCCATCAGCTCTGCCCACCAGCGTACATTCCCGTGGCATCGCGTCGCCTTAGCAAGCAAGTGGCGTAGGTCCACACTCGGCGGTGTCGAGCACGACGAGCAAGGCGCCAGTGCTCACGGAACTCAACGACAGCATCGTTTTTGCCCTGCGGCCTGCAACACCCGACGCCAAGAAGGCCGGGACGAGCGGCAAGACGACCAAGGTCGCTGACTTGAGCGTCCCGAACGTCTCAATCCCCGAGAACCAGCGGTCTTATCTTGCCCGATCTCTGTATCTGATGCGTGTCGTCTAGGTACACGTTCGCGCTCATTCTGCGCAACACGTACCAAGTCAAGCAGCTCCTCAAAGAGCGGTTTCCGCGGCGCGTGGACAAGCCACTGCGGCGCCACTACGCAGACCAGGTCGGCGCGATGCAGATCAAGTGCATTCGGCGGCTCGTGCAGTCGGGGCTCGGCGTCATTCTCCTCGACAACGACAACAGCATTCCGCACCATGCGCAAAAGTGGAACGAGACCAACAACATTTGCGTGCTCATCGACCCGTACAAGGTAGAGCTCTCTCCGATTTGTTGCTGGTATGTCACAATATGTATCTAGGACAAGGAGCTGCTTTTGCAAGAGTTTCGGCGGGAAAAGGACGAGCTCGCGATCAAGCGCGGCCAGGCGACGTCGCGCTTGGGCCTCGAGACGCTCGAGAGTCTTCGCAACGCGTGCTTCTCCCCGGCGCTCGAGCTCCAGCTGACGCACAACCTCATCCGCAACGCCCTGCGCGACTACGACGTCGAGGACTGGGTCTGCACTATCCAATGAAATATCAACTTATCAACTTGGCGACAGGTGCTGGACCACTCGAACGAACTCTCTTGCTGGGACGTGATCGAACACTGCTTCCCTCTCCACGACCGCGTCTTCAACAACACGTTCTTCGCCGAGTACCGCAAGCGCACCTTTGACGTGCGCAAGGCGTCGGCGGGCAACAACTCGGAGCGCTGGGCCATCGAAGGTGTGTCAACGTATTTTTGTATCAATCTTTCAAGTGAGATATAGAGCTGCGTCTGCACTTTGGCGAGCGCGTCGCGTTCCTCTTTGCGTTCATGCGCATCTATAGCAAGATGCTGCTCCCACTCACCGTGCTCTGCGTTCTCTACTACCTCGGGTTTCGGTGGGTGCCCGGGTACATCTGGAACAAGTACCTCCTCGGACTCTCGGTGCTCGGGTTTGGCGTCGTCGCGATCTGGGCGCCGGCGCTCATGCTCGTTTGGGAGCGCGAGACGCGCGTGCTCACGGAAAAGTGGAATCTGGCGAGCTACCGCGACACGATCTTCGAACGCAACGACGAGAACCCCGACTTCGAGTACGTTTGGACCAAGAACGAGATCACGCACGAGATGGAGAAGACGCCCAAGGAGAGCAAGAAGCGGCTCATTCGCGCCACGATGGTCTTCTTCGTCGCCCTCAGCTCGCTGCTTCAGTGCATCGTGCTCATGCCATTTCTCCAGGTATTGCGACGACTCTACATCAAGTCATTGCGTTGGTGTCCAGTGGTATGTGTGGTCCAAGCTCGCCCCAGTGTGCGACGGCAGTGTGTGTATCGAGCGCGGCAACTGCCAGCAGTTTATCAATTGCTTCCAGTCGCCAACGTCAACGGTGGGCACGGACCGCTGGGCGTACATCCTCATCCAGGTACCTCCAATCTGTACAAATGCCAAATCCTTAGCAAATCCTAGGGCGTCTTGCTCGGGCTCCTCATCGACACGGTATTCTTCGAACTCTTCAATTGGTTCTCGGCCAAGTTTGTCTCGTGGGAAAATTTGGCGAAAAAATCCGACTTTGAAAACCGTACTTTTGCCTTATTCTGCAAATTTACAAATTGGATGATGTAGGGCTCGTGCACCGGCGGTTCGTCTTTGTGTGGTCCAACTGGTTCTTCTGGTTTCTCACACTCGCCTTCTTCTACCTCCCGTACGGCAACTACGTCAACGATCTCTTCCGGCACTTTGGCTGGGGCTGGGCCGTCATATACGAGTGGGACCCCGCCGCCCTCACGCTCGACACGCTGTTTGTGACGCCGCTCGTCGTGACGCAGCTCCTCAACATGCTCCTCGAGACTGGGCTTCCCTACCTCGTGCGCAAGATCCGCCGCAAGCCAGCGTCGTGCCGGTCAGCGTGTTCGGACTCGTGGCTCGCCGGCTTTCAAGTAGGTCAATTGCATTGAGATTGAGATTCCAGAACGTGCCCAGTGCGTGCGGGCGATGCAAGAGAAGAAGGTGCAGCACCGGCGCGAGGCCAACATGACAGCGCACAAGCTCGCGGACGAGGTGTCACGCTCGACTCGCTTCTTCGTGCCTGTCCTCGGGTACTCGGACGACTCGAACGAGTACACGGCGTACGAGGTACGACAGGTTCGACACGGTTAGAACCCTAACCACCGACGACGCAGATCCTGGCCGAGTCTCGACTGCCCGTGTTTGACACGACGTACGACTACCTCGACGCCTCGATCCAGTTTTCCTACATTGTCATGTTCACGGTCGTATGGCCGCTGCTGCCGCTCCCCGCCTTTCTCAACAACGTCCTCGAGGTATCCAGCGCTCACCTTCAATGCTCACACGAGGCGCAGGTCCGTGGCGATGCGTTCCGACTCCTCTTTGGCCACCGGCGGCCCATGCCCCGGCGCGACGTACGTGGCTCGTATATTGATCGTAGGACAGAGAGTGCGTAGACGTCGATTGGCGAGTGGGCCACTGTGCTGCACTACGCCAACATCATTGGCATCACGGTTGTCTCGGGCCTCATCGTCATGTACCACTTTGGCTCGGTCGTGAGCGACTGGAACGGCGATTTCTGCGACATGAGCTTCAGCGACGCCGCGATGGTCCCGTTCCAGACGCTCAATCGGTCGCTCACGCGCGACCCGATGGCCTGCGCGCTCTTCCTCGCGCCATCCGAGGCGTGGGGTATGCGCCAGATCGTCGCGTTCATCGTGCTCGAGCACCTCGGGTTCATCTGCCGCTACTTGGTGCTCCAGCTGGAGAAGACACCGAGCGCGATTGCGAGCTCAGCGTACCTCCGCCTCAAGCAGATCCGAGAGCTCACGAGTGCTCGGACGGCCGACGCCAGTGTGTTCGAGTACATTCGCGAGCTCCGCGAGATCTTCGACACGTACGACGTCGACGGCTGCGACCACTTGTACGAAGACGACCTCGTACTCTTCCTCGCCGAGTGGGTCGGCACGGACGTGTCGGACCTCCAGAGTCGCAGCGGCCAGATCTTTCGCTATATGGACAAGAACCAGCTCGGGAAGGTGCCCTTCTCCACGTGCTGCCTCATGCTCCAGCACGCGCACCACGACCGGTTCTTCTCGGTTCTTCTCGGCATCTACGACTCGCTCGACGACTTTCGCAATGTACACCATTTGCTGCCTGGAAGCTGCCCACAATGCTGAGTATAGGGACAAATCCGGCTCCAGGACGGACCGGTACAGTACCGCCGCGGGCGAAGAGCAGCGTCGTCGTCCATGACGAACGGCAGCAGCGAGCACCACCACGCATCTGCCATCGTACTGTATACATCTTACGCTCGCTATCTCTTGATTTATGAATAGGACTCGGAAACCTCGCAGCACGAGCCCGTTTAGTGGTTTGATGTAGTCGAGAAGAGAGCATGCAGAAGTGCGTTCTGGTGCGTCTTAGTCATGAAGCGCCGCGAAATCAAAGGGCGCGAACGCCTTGCGGAAGGCGTCCGTCATGGCCGTTTCTTCGTCCTTGGGCACGACGCAGTACTAGAGCGAGGTCGTACAACTGGTATACAAGGATCGATTACCTTCCAGTTTTCTCGTCGCGGCATGTCGAGGAGCGTCGCAGCCACGTGGCGGCCAAACTGCATGTAGTGCTTCCCGCGCACCGCGTGGTACAGCCGGGTGTAGCCGCCCGCGCCGTCGGGAAAACTCACCAAAAAGTACTCGGACGGCGACGTCGGCAGCGGCGCGTCGGGCGACAGCATCTCAAAGTCGACATTGTACTGCTTGCCTTCCTCAAAGCAAATGTGCGCCACGTGCGCCACTAGAAAATATCAGAATCCTGCAGATCAATAAGAAACGTACAGGCATCCGCGGGCACGGGAATGACTTGGAGGTGGGCGTGCGCAGCACCGAGCGTCGAGACGTTGCGGTCCATGAAAATGAGCGACTTGCCCTGGCTCGCAAAGAGCCTACAGTGCAAACATGAGGCGGGAATTCGACAAACGACCAAGTACTTTTCCAGCGCCGATTTGAACTTGTCGACTTCGGCTGCGGCAGCCGGCGAGAGGCTGCGCATGCTCGAGACATGCTGGATCGGGATGATGAGCACGTGGTCGGGCACGATCGGGCCTTTCGGAATCGCCACGTAGGCCTCGTCACCAATGCTACAGTCTATCGAGTGCAAAATCTGTGTGCGAAATGTGTACCTCACAATGAGATGCGTCTCGACCGTCGGCGTCGCGAGGCAGAACCAGCACTCGGACCGGTTGGCAACGACGGGGCGACGAATCTGCTCGTGCGCACCTACAGACCAGGATCAAGCAGCGTGTCTCTATAGAGCCAAGCGAGTACCTTGGCCTTGCGCCGCGAGCGCCGGGTCGTAGCGAAACTGCCCAGCGTTCTGGCTTTGTTGCGTGAGCTTCTGAACCTTGTCGGCCGAAAGCCCTACAACGACTAGAGTTGCTACGTGCTTGTAGCAATCAACACAGACCGTCCGTTCTCAGGCGCTTGGTCCCGAGCTCACTGGCGTCCCCGCGACGCTTGGCTTGAAACGGCGACTGCGTCGTGCCTGGCGGGATCTCGACCGAGACGCCTTCTTGCAGCGGCTAGGATTTGCGTTTGAGTTTGGATATAAGTGGAGGAACACACCTCGAGGTTGAGTGCATGGAGCCACTTCTTGTCCTTGTCGGCCGAGGCGCCGACGTGGCCGAGGCCAATGAGACGCGAGACGCGACGACCAGCGCTCGGGACGTCCGTGACGTACGGTAGATGCTGGTAGAAGACGCCATGCGTGCCCACAATGTGGTATCGTGGCACCGCCGCTTGGGCCGCGAGCCGCGCTTCCTAGAAACAGCGTCGCAACTTGGACAATGGATGGTACTGCTGCACACCTTGGAGCCCACGTGCTGGATCGCGACCGGAACCTTGTCTGGCAAGAGCGCGTCAAAGCTATAGGATGGCGGTAGCGGTCGTAGACGCAGCAGTAGAAGCCATCGTACCCGTCGGGGTAGGCCGCGGTCACTAGCACGTCGACGGGCGCCAGCGCTGCCGCGAACGCTGCACCGGCGGCTTCATCGGCCAAGAAGGCCACCTGAAGCCCACAGAGCTCGAGGACGCTGTTGGTCGAGACGAGGTGGAGGTTGGTGATCGCAGTACTTGCGGTCCCCGGCGCCGCCAGCGCATACACGGGCAGCGGCCAGGCGGCGTCGTCGAGCGCCGACACGTCGCACGCGCCCGTGCAGAGCACCATGTTGAAGGGCCCATGCGCCGACGCATGCAGCTTCTCGACGCGAGCGCGGAGCGCGGGCCATGCGCTCCCGACGTCGCCGCAGAGCAACACCTTGACCATCACTGCTGTGGAACGTTCGCAAATAGTATGCTCCTCAAAATCGTGTTATACATGATATGGTGTGTTCTGGGTTAAAACCAAGTCGACGTGGTCTTGCTGCCCTTGGCGAGGCGGCCTTGGCGGGTCCGGCGGACCGTCTCCTGCATCTCGAGCGTGTGGATGGCGGTCTCGAGGAACGGCGTGAGCTGGATCGTCTTGTCGAGGTGCCGGAAAATGCTGGGAAAGCCGCCCTTGCGCGCGAGAACGTTCCCCAACAGCCGCGCCGTCCTACTCGCAACTCTGAACCTACGAGTCGACGTCACAGCGCACCGTCCGTTGCCGTCGTAGAACGGGTGGATGAAGAAGACGAGCGCCGCAAACGCGTAGTAGGCTGCGACCAGCGGGTGCTGAAATGGCTGGTTGAGCGTGCCAACGTAAAGCGTGAGCGCCGACGCAATCTCCTCGGCGGGCAAAAAGACGCGGTAGATGCGCTCCGAGGCGTACCCCACCGCCGCATTCTCCCGCGCCATGCCTGCTCTCAACATGAGATTCCGAGGCTCATAGCTCGCGTTGTACCGCCCGTCTCGCCCGCGGCTTCGCACACGGCGCGGTGCAGCGTGAGCACTTGGTCATATGACACGACGCTGCGCGGATCGACCAAGATCGTGTTGAGGATCGAGAGGAGCGCTGCGGTCGGCGGCGGCGTCGACGGTCTATTTGGTCGTAGCAAAGGAAGGATTGCCAGAGACGCACCGGAACGCGCCTTTGCGGTCGTGGGCACTTCCGAGCGCATCGTACACGTCGCTTAACGTAAACGGCGTCGACGAAAAGCCCTCGAACGCGCGGTTCGCGAGCTTGGCTTGGAGTCCGGACCGATCAAACTCGTCGGCGAGGAGACGCGGCAGCTACCCAGTGCGCGCGCTCAGAGTGCGCAACAATATAGACAATCGATAGAAACCTGTTCGAGCTCCCGGAGAACGGGCGACGGCACGCGCCCAAAGAGGCTCGGGGGTGGGGCGACTAGCATCATACGTGATTTACATCAATGTATCAAGGTAGAAGAACACGCACGTGGCGGCGGCGGGGCCACGGCGGCCGGTGGGGCCGGCATTTTCCCGCGGTGGATGTGACCTGCGTCTGGTGAGCCACATGATCCGCATACTAACACGCGTACCCGACACTTTGTACTTGCAGAGGATACACTCGGGCTCGTCGGATGCTGCTGCCGGAGGCTCCTCGACGACGACGACAGTGGGTGCTGGCGCCGCCGACGGATGCACGTGGCGCTGCAGCTCGTTGTAGAGGTGGTGAACCTTGGAGAAGAAGTCGCCTTCGGTCGGGCTCACGGCGGTCCAGTACGAGAGGTAGTAGAACACGTGTTGCACGAGTTGCGCCTACGCGCATCGAATGAAAGGAGAGAGCGCGTCGAGATCTTAGTACCTTAGTTGCGATCGAGGGCGTCAGGTCGTCCGGCGTGAGCTCCAGGAGCGCGCTCGAGAGCACGTCATCAAAGAGACCTTGTGTGACGAGCCCAACGAGCGACGCGAGAATGTTGACGGCCGCCTAGAACTCCGAGTCAGCGACGGCAGTCGACAGCTCGTACCCAGTGGTCTTCGCTGCTCATGGACGTTGCGATCTTGTCAATGTAGTCAAAGAGTCGCCACGTCAGCGCCAGCGACACAACGTCGTGCAGCGCCACTACGTCCAGGTGAGAGTGCAAGGTCCATTCTCTCACAACGACGTACGTTCCTCGGCCGTCACGGAGGGATACAAGAGCTCGCCCGCGCCCGTGAGCGCACTCTCGAGCGCGTAGCAGTACTGGTACCGCGACATGCCCAAATGCGTCTCCTACATTAGCGTCTGTGGGTCGATTCCCTCGAAACAACACGTGCGCGTACGTGCTTGAGCAAGCAGAGCAGCGTGACGCCCTTGACGAGGCGCTGGATCCGCTGCACGTACGTGACGTCTTCTCCAAGACTCTACAACTGAGTTATACTTGATGGACGGAGAATCGGAGAGGGTACCTCGTGGCTGTACCACGAGAGGACGGCGACGACGGCGAGCTTGGCGACCATTGGCACCGAGAGGAGCGACTTGAGCCCGGCCTTGCGCGCATGCGGCCCAAAAAAGAACTTGGACTGCGGCGTGTGCGTGAGGTTGGCGACCCACTCGGGCTGCTGGCCGCTACCAACTTGAAATGACGCATTGCTCGTGTTTCGCTCTACCTGTAGACACGCCCGACGTGGTCTTGACCCGGGTCCACGAGCATGAGGCCGCGTGCTTTGCGAAAGAGCAGAATCGGGTCGAGCTTGGCGCCGCCTTTGGCGTGATGGCTCCACGCCGCATGCAGCGCCGGGACCAACGTGTCACTAGATGACTCCGTCCGACCTTTCTGATACTTTAGGACAAACTGTACTTGATCATGTCGGTGTCGTCCCCAATCGTGGGGCGGAACCAAACCGAGTGCAGAATGATCGTGCACCCGTCGCTGTCTTCGTCCTTGACCGGAATGCACGCTTCGCCAAAGCTCCACTTGGCCTACGACCGTTGAGAGAGGGCACACTGTGGCGACACTACCGCGCACACGGTGCGAAGAACGTGCTCGATGGCCGTGTCCAAGACGCCCGGGTCCATCTGGTTCATCGCTTCGTCGTACGCGTGGCCGTGCTCGACTGCGTGGTGCGCCCGGAGGTACCTACGCCGCCCGTTGAAACCTAATTTTCGCGTGCATCTGTACCGTGCGACGTCGTGGTGGGCAAAGTACGTTGCTTCGGCGAGCGGCGAGCTGCCCCAGCGGTCGAGCGCGTTGACGTTGGCGCCGCACTCAACGAGGTACTGGCACATGCGCAGGTTGCCTTCGCTGCTCGCCACGTGCAAAAGCGCCCTACCCACCGTCATGGAACACAAGTCGATGAGCCGGTTTTGTCTACCGTGCGTCGTAGTCTTGGACGTCGGGGTGCACGCTCTGCGGCACGAGCTCCATGAGGTACGCCACGTTCCCGCGCTTGATGGCTTCGAAGGCCAACGCCATTTGGTTGCCGCTCGGCAGCGGCGGCGAGGTCGATTGATGCCGCTGCCGAAGGACGTCGACGATCGCGCTGGCGTTCGCGTCGACAGCCAGCGACATGGGCGTGCGACCGACCGCGTCGGCAACGTCGACCTTGGCGCCCGCCGAGAGCAAGAGCTCGATCACGTCCAGCTGTTCGTGCTCGACCGCCACGTGCAGCGCCGTGCTATTCGGTCGTGAAGTGCAACAGATCACTGAGACGTCGTACCGGCCAAGAGCGTCAGCCACGTCGACCTTGAGGCCGTCGAGCCAGGCGCGCTTGAGGGTTTCTGTGTCGCCGGCTTGCACCTACATGCGGCGTGTGGAGATATGCGGAAGGCAGTCTTCGTACGGCGGCAAAGACGGTGTTTGGGTCGAGGACGTCGCTGCGGGCGGCAGTCGTAATCTCCTGCAAGTTGTGTGGCGAGCGCCGGCCTAGGGGCGGCCGCGCGCGGTCCGATGCGAATGGCACGTCCGACTGGAACCGCACAAACTGCGCGAGGATGCTCACGACGCTCGGGTCCTTGGCGCAGTCCAGAGGCGTCGCGCCCCACCGGTCCTTCTTGTAGACGTTGGCACCGGCCTTGAGAAGCACCTCGACGACGCTCGACTTGCCGTCGCTCGCCGCAATGTGCAGCGGTGTCCTAGCGCCGCCCATGAACGACATGTCCTGCAACATGACGCACCGCTGGTCGTAGTCGGCGAGGTTGACGTCGGCGCCGGCGTCGATGAGCTGGAGAAGAAGGCCCGTGTCGCCCATGCCTGCGGCCCAGCAGAGGGCCGTCGTATCACGCACCATCGGCGGGACCTCGGCCATCGTCGCGAGCAAGAGATACGGCCAATTTGCACCTTGCCTGGTTTTGTGCAAGATCCGAGCGGATTTTGACCAATCAAAACGTGCAGCGCCAGCACCGACTAAGTACCACACGTCACGATGACTAGACAATCGACTAACTGGGACGAGAACTCGAGGGAGCACGCTTCACGCTGCAATGGAAAGAGGGACACGTCCTCGGATGCAATGTATTGGTAACCCAAGAGCAGAATTACTGCATTATCTCGCGCTAGTGCCTGGAACATGGCCCCGAGTCTGTCGACTCTGTTTAGTTAGTCGATTGTCGAGTGGGAAACGCAATCGTGTGAAACGGCAATGAGTCACCGACAGCAGCCGCAGCCGCCGGCGAACCAAGGCTCGGCGCGGAAGGACCCACCGCTGGGTATGCCGAGCATACTTCACATGCTATAGCCAAGGTACTTGGTAGGCGCTGCGCTGCGAAAGACCCGAGCGCCGAGCCGCAAGGCTATGGACGCACCTCCGCCATCGTTAAGCCGCAAGCCCGACAGCACGTGCGTGTCGATGGTTGCCAATCATCGCAATAAGCATCTTCGTAGCGTTCGCGTCATCGTGCGCACGCGGCCGCTCAACGCCGCCGAGGCCGCGCGGGGCGAAGCGCCTGTTTTGCGCTTCTCGTCCAACAACCGGTATCCCTGGTGCATCGCAGCCTGCAATCATCCGTGTGCAGGACAGAGCTGCAGGTCGTCTCGGCCGGCGCTGGCGGCCGCGAGCTCGTGCGCAGCTTCCAGTTTGACGTGTGCGCGTCGGAAGAGGTCGCGCAGTCCGAGTTTTTCGAGCTCTCGGGCGTCACAGCGCTCTTGGACTCGGCGCTCGAGGGGTACCTTGCGACCGTCTTTGCGTACGGCCAAACAGGGTCGGGCAAGACCTACAGGTGATAGTAGACTTCGATGTCTCGCAGCTTCAACTCCAATTTGCAGCATGTCGGGGCTGGACGAGAAGATCGAGAAGCGCGACCGGCGGCACGAGGCATCGGACGGTCTCATTCCGCGCTCGATCCGGTACCTCTACGACGCGATCGAGGCCCAGACCAGTACGAAATACACGCTCAAAGCCTCGTACTGCGAGATCTACAACGAACAAGTGTGTTATCAACCTCTCTCGGTGTTATAACAGTTCTACAGGCCTACGACTTGCTCAACCCGGCTTCAGGCACGCTCAACATTCGCTGGAACGACCGCAATGGTTTTTACGTGCAGGTATACTTGACTCGATTCCTAGTCGCTGCGCGGACTAACGTCGACTAGAACCTACTCGTCGTGCAGTGCGACTCGATCGACGATGTTGTCGCGGTCGTCGACGAAGGCCACAAGAACCGCCGGTACGTCCATTCCGCGGCGGTTTGTATCAATTTATATATGTATCAACATCAGCGTCGGGAGCCACGAGATGAACAAGGACTCGAGTCGGAGTCACTCGATCTTGACGCTGCTGTTGGACCAAGAGGCGGTCGATCCGACGGACGGCCACGCTGTGGGCAAATTTGGGAAAATTTCGTTCGTCGATCTCGCAGGCAGGTACGCGCCCCGCTCCTCTAACGCTGAGCGAGAATGCTCGATCTAGCGAGCGGCTCCGCGACACCAAGTCGTCGAAAACGGACGAGACGTCGAGCATCAACAAGAGTCTCATGACGTTGGGCAAGGTCATCTCGGCGCTGGGCGCCAAAGGCGGCGTCGCTGCCAACGCCACCTTTGTGCCATACCGAGACAGCAAACTCACCAAGTTGCTCATGGACTCGCTCGGCGGCCAGAGTCTCACGCTCATGGTGGCGTGCGTCTCGCCTGCGCCGTGCTTCCTCGAAGACACGCTAAGCACACTCAACTACGCGACGCGCGCCAAGAACATCCAAAACAAGCCGACGGTCCAAACCGACCCGAAGGAGAGTCTCATCTCGGGTCTACGCCACGAAAACCAACTCTTGCGCTCGGAAAACGCCTTCTTAAAGCAGCAGCTGCACGCGCACGGCATCACGACCAGCTCCAAGTTAGGACAAGAAATCAAAGCGCCGCGACAGATCCCACCGCTACCCACCAAGCCATCGCTCCATGTCGAGGCAAATGCGCCCGAGTCGGACGCGCTCGGCGGCGTCGTCGCAGCGTACCAGAGCCAACTCATTTACCTCCAACAGGAGAACGCACAGCTACATGCCAACCAAGGCTACGCGGAGCACCGCCTTGGCAACCTCACGTAGCGCATATGAGAGACCCATCGGTGGTAGAGATCTCGGTTGTAGGCGCGAAAACGAAGCGCTTCGAGAGACTTTAGAAAAGCACCAGCAAGCCAAGCCCACCTCCCTCGCGGCCCAAGCAACGATCGACCGCTTGACGCTGGAAAACGCGCGGCTCAAGGTACACCACGCCACGTGCAATCGCGCTGAACGACGCGGTAGGCGCAGTTGCAGTCACAACAACCAAGCTCTGGCGACCAAGATATTTTGACCCAAGTGCGCCAGATGAACCAGCGACTCGAGCACCTCCAGCAGCGCGAACAAGAGCTCATGCTCGCACTGGTACGCGTTTGCAGCATCCAGTATTTTCACATGTGCGCAGGCGAGGAAGAACCGGTCGCGCGATGCTATTTAATGCCGACGCGGGCAGTCTTCCACGCCCACGAGCTATGGCGTCCACAGAAAAACCCAAGTTCTTCGATGTGACTATGGTCTTTCAGCCGAATGACGATATAGTCTCCACCGAAAGTCCGTTTTCAAATTCTAGAGCTCCGTTATTTGTGTCCAAATAGCATCGTACTAGTATTGCCTTCTTGCCGCCAGACGAGGACGACGCGCATCTGGTGGATGACCTCGAGGAGGCTTGGGCGTTCACATATTCTCCATCTCGTCGTCCGGCCTACGCATCGGGTACGACCTTGCAGTGCCTGCGCGCCGACTACCTCGAGAACCAACGTTTCTAAAGCTCTGGCGCCGCGCTGAATGATGCACTCGGTCACCTAGCCTGTCGGACGCCTCCGCAGGGCAGTTGCGCCATGACGCAGAAGGGGCTCGAGGACAAAGTGCAAACCGAAGAGCGAAAGCAAGCAATACGTGGTCATGATCGTCGAAAATGGCCTGGACTTCATGCTTGTCTCAGACCTTGGTCAGATCGCCATAGCGTCGTCCGATTGGCCACCTTTGGACCAATCAAAACGGCGTTGGTTTGTTGGCCAATGGCATCGGCGGGAGAGTGGTTCGAGAAATATGCTGGCATCCCGCGTCCAGCGCGCCCGTCGGGCGACGAGCCTTCGCTGGTTGTCCCAAGCTGCACGTGCCTACGACGTGGTCGTCATTGGCGGTGGCCACGCTGGCTGCGAAGCGGCGGCCGCAGCTGCGCGCACCGGTACACCGACCATATCATAGCCGAACTCTTGCTCATGGACTCCCAACGCAGGCGCCAAGACAGCTCTTTTGACGCAGGTACATTGCACTACCTCGCTGCTGCGTGGCTGTTAACGCAATGCGTAGAAACTAGAGACGGTTGGCGAAATGTCGTGCAACGTACTGCAATGGAAGCGGAGAATCCAAAGCCTCAAACGTTTTGTGTAGCCCTCGATCGGTGGCGTCGGCAAGGGCACGCTCGTGCGCGAGATCGACGCTCTCGACGGGCTCATGGGCCGCATAGCCGACTCGGCCGGCATCCAATTCCGCGTACACTGCACTACGCTATAAGAAAGCTCACGCTTTGATAGATGCTGAACGCGTCGAAAGGCCCGGCGGTCCGCGGCCCGCGCGCGCAGATGGACCGCGACATCTACCGCGCCAACATGCAGGAAGCCCTTCGCGCGCAAGGTACCTTCCTACCCCGTAACGCTATTCAACACACTGCTGCAATAGACAACTTGACCATGGTCGAGGCCGGCGCCGAAGACATTAGAATCTGTCCAGTGACGGGCAAGGTCACGGGTGTCATCACGTCGTCCGGCACAACGATCCCCGCCTCGGCCGTCGTATGCCACTGATTCTAAAAGCAAAAAGCTCAAGCGATCTAGGTCATTACGACGGGCACCTTCCTGCGCGGCCGCATTTTCATCGGCGACAAGTCATTTCCCGCGGGGCGCAAGCTGCGCGAAGCGTACGTCGCTTTCTGGCTGGAAAGACCCAACTTTTGACATTAGAGATGGTGTCGAACCGCCGTCCGTGGGCCTCGCGCTGACGCTGGAGCGGCTCAACTTTCCTCTCGGGCGGCTCAAGACGGGCACGCCGCCGCGCATCGACGGCAGCACCATCTGCCTCGACGGTATTCAGTTGACCTTTTGTGTATCGGGGCGCCGACGTGGTACATAGGACTCGAAGCGCAGCCGAGCGACGACGTCCCGACGCCGTTTTCGTTTCTGAATGAAGGCAAGGCGCTGCCGCTCACCGACCGCTTCCTGCCCTGCCACGTCACGTACACGAACGAAGCGACCCACGCGATTGTGCGCGACAACATCAAGCTGCTTCCGCAGTACTCGGAGAACGAGGGCAAGGGTAGAAGAATTTGTGCTAACCTGCTTCCGTCGACATTGTACATAGGCATCGGGCCGCGCTACTGCCCGTCCATTGATGCCAAGGTCACTCGGTTCGCCGACCGAACGCGCCACCAGATCTGGCTCGAGCCCGAAGGTCTCAACACGGACGTGTACTACCCCAACGGTATCCTTTCATCAATTTAACATGCTGATGATGCGCAGGTGTGAGCACGGCGCTACCGGAAGACCTCCAGATCCAGCTCATCCAGACGATCCAGGGTCTTGAGAACGCCAAGCTCGTCAAGCCGGGCTACTCGGTCGAGTACGACTTTATCGACCCGCGATCGCTGCATCACACGCTCGAGACGAAGCAGGTGCCGGGTCTCTTCCTCGCCGGCCAGATCAACGGCACCACAGGTCTGCCGCTTTGTTTCTCGATATAAACTGAATCGGTGGGTGCAGGGTACGAAGAAGCGGGTGCGCAGGGCGTCCTCGCCGGTATCAACGCCGGCCTTGCCGTGCAAGGCAAGCCCGCCTTTACGCTCGACCGCGCCGACGGCTTTATCGGCGTCCTCGTCGACGACCTCGTGACGCTCGGCACCAAGGAGCCGTACCGCATGTTTACTTCCCGCTCCGAGTACCGCCTCCTGCTGCGCCAGGTACTGCATTGTTTTGAGGATGGAATCTGAATTGAGATTAGGACAACTGCGACTTGCGTCTCACGGCCCGTGGCCACGCGGCGGGGTTTGTCTCGGACGCGCGCCTTGCGGTGCTGCAGGAGAAGGAGGCGCACATTGCGGACGCGTGGACGCACCTCAAGACCTTTGCGATGGACCCGCACGAGTGGTGCAAGATCGATGGGATCACCATCTCCAAGGACGGCGTCAAGCGGTCGGCGGCCGACGTCCTCGCCTTTCCCCAAGGTACGAAGATGATGGCGTCTCTCAAACTCAAACTCAACTCATAGTGTCGTGCGAGGACATGCTCGCGATCTGGAAGACGTACAACTACCCGCACGGTAGCTCTCTCACTGGCCATCTCAGATCTAGAATTCACATCTAGACATCCACGAGAGCGTCCGGTCCCACATGAAGACCGAGTGTCTGTACCAGACGCAGCTGCGGCTCCAGGCCAAAGAGATCTCGGCGCTGCGCTCCAAGGCGCACATCAAGCTGCCGGAAGACCTCGACTATTTCGCGCTGCCGATGCTCTCGAACGAGGAGAAGGAGAAACTGTCGGCCGCCAAGCCCACGTCGCTGCACGCTGCGAGTCGCATCTCGGGCGTGCGCTCGGCGACGCTCCTGCTCTTGTACCAATTCGTCTCGAAAACCAAAGGCGCCCAACAATAAAAGCAACAACTTGGTTTCAAAAACGCTTGTTCAAAATGTGGGAATGGCGCATGTTCGGGACGCTCTCGGAGGCGACGCAGGAGATCCTCGACTCGCTCGCCGTGACGCTCAACGCGCTCAAAGTGAGCCACGCGATGCTGCCCGAGAAGCGCACCGATGTCTTCATCGTGCTGCCGACACCCAACATTGGCATCAAGTTTCGCAACCTCGCGTCGTCGCCGCAGCTCGAGGTTCGCTTCGTTTGCTGTGCATTTGAATAAGCAACTATTGGTCAGATCAAGATTGCCAAGGCGATCGATGACGTCTGCGGCGCACAGACGTGGCTCAAGAAGCGGCTCCCGGCCGCGACCGTCGACATGGACTCGGACGACGCCGTGAAACAGGCGGTCGTCGGCAGCGGCATCGAGGAGCTCGAGCAAGTCGAGCTCAAGCTGCCCATGCAGCGTCTGCGTCTCCAGAAGGACCGGCACCTCTGGCGCCTCGCCATGACGTCCCAGAACGTCCAGGTATATTCCTTCTTCGCCTTTGTGAAACAATCACGGATTTTAGGTGGAGATTTCGACGTTTGACGTGGCGCTGGACGCGCGGCCCGTGCACAAGGACGTTTACTTTACCATTTGCGTCGAGTCCAAGAGCATCGACGCGCTCGTCGAGTGCGTCGTCAAGCTCGCGCTGGGCGAGGTATGCATATTTCGACTAAACAAATCGACTAACTACAAACGAGATGCTCGAGCCGTACGCGATGCAAAACATCTTTGTCGTCGAGAGCATCAACGTCAAGACGCCGGGTGCGCGGGCGCCGCCGTCGCCCAAGAAGAAGGCAGTGATCGACCCGCCGGGCACGATGGTGCCGCCGTCCTCGTCGCCCGCGGCCATGGACCCCAAGCTCTCGCCCGTCAAGCGCAAGCTCATCTCGATCGCACCGCGGCTCCGGCTCATGGAGATGGGCTACTCGGCCTTTGTCTGCAACGTCGTGCAGGTCGCCATGCACTAAAGGATTTTCAATAGAATTGGGTATAAATGGCGACTAGACGTTGGTCGGTGGTGTTTCGTCGTCCGACTTGTACGCGTGCCGCAGTCGGAGCGACACAAACGAGTCGTCCTCGTCCTCGTCGCTGGGGACACCGTCGTAGCCGTCGTGGCTCTGCCGCGGCGTGTGGCTCGAGAGCGACTGGTAGCGAGAGAGGTGCCGGGCGTGGGCGCCGAGGCCTTCGTCCGCCAGCGAGAGTCGCATGCGATCGTTGCGAAAGTTGTCGAGCGAGTCGCACGTGCCAAGAAGCACCGAGAAGAACCGGTCATACTCGGCGTGGCGGAGCATGAGGCAGCACGTGGAGAAGGGCACCTTCCCGAGTCGGTTCTTGTCCATATACCGGAAGAGAATCGAGCCGTACGGCGCGAGCTTCGACTTGTCCGTGCCGACCCACTCGGCGAGGAAGGACACGAGCTCTTCTTCGTACAAGTGGTCGATGCCATCGCCGTCGTACTTATCGAAAACAACGCGCAGCTGCTTCATGTACTCGAACTGCTCGACGACCGCTGACCGCTTGGACGCGAGCTCGCGCAGCTGCTTGAGGCGCACGTAGCTCGGGTTGCCGATCGAGCGCGGAACCTTGTCGCCCTAAATAGTTGTTTTTGAGTTTCGAGTCGTGGATTGAGAGAGAGAGTACCTGCGTCGCGAGGTACCGAATGATGAAACCAACGTGCTCGAGGATGATGAAAGCAAACACTTGGTGCAGGATGATGTGACTCTTGTTCTCGAGGAACGCCTTGCAGCTCACGGGGTCTTTGGCCTCGGTCGCGTTGAGCGAAAAGATGGGCACCATGACCGCCACCGAGAAATCGTAGTCGCACTGGTTATAGAAGGCCTCCGAGTGGTACCTAGCACCGTAATCAGACAACACGTCCATCATACAAAACACACATGACGATAAAGATGGCGACGATCGTAATGCCAATGATGTTGGCGTACTGCAGCGCTGTCGCCCACTCGCCAATCGACGCCTACTCAGTCGTCACATCAGAGGCGAGCTACCACTGCATCCGTACATCACGACGCGGCATCGGTCGCCGATGGCAAAACAGCAGTCGGAACGCATCCCCACGCACCTAGTACATTCATGTAGGATGCCAAACTCAATATCAAAAGATACCTCAAAGACGTTGTTGAGAAAAGCCGGGATTGGCAGCAGCGGCCAGACGACCGAAAACATGACGACATAGGAAAACTGGATGGCCGCGTCGAGGTAGTCGAACTTGGGATCAAAGACGGGCAGCGTCGACTCGGCCACGATCTCGTACGCCGTGTGCTGGTTGTCGTCGTCCGAGCGCTCGAGGACGGGCACGAAAAAGCGCGTGACGGCCGAGACGTCGGCCGCGAGCTTGCGCGCCGACTTGTTGTGCGTCGCGCGCTGGATGTGCTTGCGCTTGTCGCGGCGCAGCGTGCAGTTCCACGTGCTAAACCACTTGCGCATACTGAACGGCTTGCCGCGGTACTTCTTCATGAGGTACGGCACGAGCGTCTCGAGCGTCATGTTGAGAAACTGCGTCACGACGAGCGGCGTCACAAACAGCGTGTCGATCGTCAACAGCCCCGGCGTCCATGTCCACCCGCCGAGACCGACAATTTCGACCAAAAACTACCATAATTGAGTTTCACGCAAAAATATCAAGTTGATACCTTTTGGTTGATTGTGTCGCCAAATGGCAGGTAAACGAACGCGAGGAAGAGGAACCAGAAGAACCAGTTGGACCACACAAACACAAACGACCGGTGGATGAGCTAAAGACCAGTTTGAGAAGCGAGTCGTCATTCGTAAAGTCGTACCCGTGCTTCGTACTCGGATTTCTTCTCGCAGTTTTCCCACTCGACAAACTTGGCCGAGAGCCAGTTGAAAAACTCGAAAAAGATGACGTCAATGACGAGGCCGAGCGCGATACCCTGCGCGAGGATGTACACCCACCGGTCCGACCCGATCGCCGACGTCTCTGAGTTGAAGCACGTAATGAAATACACGCAGTCGAGAAGCGACCTTTCGCTGTTCGGGTTGCTGATGAGCCGCGCGCGGCAGTCGGTGCACGTGGGCAGTTGCTTGGCGTACACATACCACTAAAACAAATTGTCATTTGAAGCTTGAGATTGGGGAATGTACCTGGATGAACGGCAGCAGCAACACGCACTGAACGATGCAGCTCACGACCACAAAGAGGCCCATGGTCGTCCGAAGCATCTCGAGCTTTCCGCGCTTCGGCGTCTTCTCCCACTGCTGCGTGAGCATGTTCTGCTCCCACGTGTACTGGTAGTTGGCGTTTTCTTCGTTGGCTTCATACACCGTCTGCTTGTACCCGCCGAGGTTCCACTTTTCGACGAGGAGCCGCGTCTCGCGCCCCCACACGTGCAGCAGAATCGGCGCCCAGATCGTCGCGATGCCAAAGCCAAAGACCGAGAGGCCAATCATGTAGATGCTCCACGACTGCGCGACAAAGTACCGGCACGTAATGTAGTAGACGGTACCGATGACCACGATGGGCACGAGTGCCTTGGTGTAAATGTGCATGAACGCAAAGAGGAACGCGATGCGCTCGCCAAAGTGCAGACGCAGCTCTAAATGCCACTTGAAAGATTGATACAAACACCGTGGGAAATACCTTCAATGGCCCAGCGCTCCGAGTTACCAGTGATCGTGCGGCCCCACTTGAATTGGAACGTCCGCTTGCGGTACATTTCGAAAAAGTCCTTGCTGAACCTATCAAGATCCACGCGTCAACGCCATATCTTGATGCCACGTGTACTTTTTGTCGTGGAGCGGGAAGACGGCGTGGATCACGTCGTCGACGGTCGGGATGCACTGGCGGTCGATCGTGGCCTCGTCCTGGTCGTAGTCGCGCAACGCGTTCCGGATAATGTTGTGCGTGAGCTGGAGCTCGAGCGCCGGCGAAAAGCAAATGTCCTTGGAGCCTGCGCAGCGTCCTTAGTGATGCAAAGGGGCGAGGAAGAAGCTACCGGAGATCGGCAGGCGCGCCTCGCCAAGCCGTGACGTCGCGTTGCCTTGTGCGATCGCAAACTCGTCCTTCTCGCGCATGAACTCGAGGTGCAGCAGCCCTTTGCTCTACGCAGCGCCTGAGTCCCGTGGCTTTCCACGAGGAAGTCGCTCGCTACCTTGTACGGGTCAACAAGGATGCAAATGTTGTCCGTCTGCGCATGCGTCACATCCCGCTCCTCGACATAAATGTCATTGTCGAGCAAGATGACGCCGAGACCCGACTGGACGAGCCGCCGCAAGCACTTTTGCTGCAACGCGGCGACGTGCGCCGAGATGTCGGCCGGCGTCAAGTGCGCACGCGTCACGGGGTCCGTCACACCGCGCAGTCGCGACTTGTACAGCCTGCATGATTCCATGAGCTATCAATCGGAGCAAGCAGCAGTACCGAGCGACTTGCTTCGTGTTGCGCAAGATGAGGGCGAACGTGTAGCGCTGCGTCTCTTGGATCGTCACGCGCGGGACCGGAAAGTTGGGCAGGTCTACGCATCGGGGGTAGGTACTTGTAGGCTGCAGGCGACTTGTCGTACCGTTTGGGCGCCGACGCCGGCCTGCCGACGCGTTCGTGATGGTCGAGTTGACCATGGACTTGCGCTCCTTGTTGATGGAGATCGTGTGGTTGTCGACGACGTCGGTAACGACGTTCGTGGGCGTCGTCTGGTCTTCGTACGGCTCGGGGTCGGCCGAGACCATCGTGTCGGTGAGCAGGCGACGCACGACCTGCGGCAGCGGGATGCGCAGGCTGCTGCTCGAGTGGGGCTCAGGCGCATGGACCGCGTCCATGGTCTCATACGCAGCTTCCTCGACGACCGGCGACGGGTTCTGGTTGCGCTGCAGCACGAGCGCCCGGTACGCGGCCTCGCCCGCGGGCGTCCACGGCGTCGTCATGGCCTCTACGCTGTGAGCAACGGAACTATCCAGTTTCAGGCGCGCGGAACTGTCTTGCGTTTTGTATACCCCCGCGGTGCTGAAACCTTTGAAATTGGATACACGTATGCATTGCTAGAGGTTCCAACGGTCCCGAGCGAGCCACTCTTCATCGCCGCGATGCTGGAGCAAGCAGCTCGTCATATCGTAGTTAGTTGCCAACACACTTTGCCGTCTCATCTGCTATTACTTGGTGCGTAAAGAGACTGAGGCATTTGTTCAAATTCCCGACTTTTGTCGTATTTTTGCGTGTAAACGCGGCAAATCGCTCTGGCGATTGCCGACAGCAGGCAGTCGATTCGCATCTAGGATGGATGCGCGCGGTGAACCTTTTCGAGCCTTGAGACTGGGCATCGCTCGCACTTGGCGCGTCGGGAGAGAAGCCTCGGCCTGAACTAGTACTGCCATCTGAGAACGCAGCGAGCCAGAGCTGGGATTGCAGGACAACTCTCCATAGCGACCTAGCTACTAGGCTTTATAACCCAAGGTCCTAATACGCTAAGCTTACGCAGACTTTGTGAGCGAGCTGAACTACGAGTTCTCGAGAGCTTGAGATCATGGTTCTAACGCGCCAAAATAATAATAAAATGCATATTTTGCAGATTGGCCAGCAACGCTGACAAGCGTGGACCATGGCTGAGCGCTTTGATGGCCCCGTGCTCGTGGATCGCGCCGGCTTTAGCGCGTGGCAGGCCGACTTCATGACGTCGGCGACAGCGCAGGGCTATGCAAAGTACTACATCGAGGCAACCTTTGACGACCCCGCGGCCTTTGCGGCGGCCATCGCCCAGCTCGAGGCCAGGAACAGCGTCGTTGTGCCGGCCGACGCCGATGCTGCACAGCGCTACGCTCACTTCAAAGAGCTGCATGTCTTCTATCTAGAGCAGTTCCACGCCCGCGCTCGCGTGTACCTTGCGTCGGCCATCGACCCATCTCTGCAGCGGGCTATCTCCACGCTCGCGTCGTCGTACGACGCATACCAGCACCTGCTGCAGCGTTTCGCCCCGAGCTCCGCAGCGGCGATCCTCGCGTCTCTCACCTCCGTAGCTGGCGACGAGCCAGCGACAATCGTGCGTCGCGTGGACGAGCTGGTTCCGGTCTTGCGCGCTGCCGTCGTCGGAGACAAGGACTTGTGTCAGCTCTCCGTCATCGACTACGATCGCCACGTATGGAACGAGCTTCGAACTGCGCTTATAGCGCAGTGCTTTCTCGGCGCGCCACGCTGCGCTGCAGACGAGGACCTGGCGCCGCTCGCAGCTACGACCGTGGAATCGCCAACACCAGCTTCCTCGACGCCACTATCATGCCATGCGAGAGTCGCAGACGCCAGTACCCCCAGCGAACTTGGTGCAGCGCATCTGCCCGAGACTGCCGCTTCGAGCAGCGAAAAGGCACCTGACGATACGGAGCCCGATCCCAAGCGACAGCGCATCCAAGACCTTCTCTCGGAAGCCGTGTCGTCGGAAGGTGAAGAAGAAGGCGAAGTGCTGCCGCGGGATGAGCTGCCACTCGCGCGCACCGTCTACGTCACGCAGCTCAACCACAACGTCACTGAGGCAGTCTTGCAGGATCTTTGCGAATCGTTTGGCCTCGAGGTACAGGTCGATGTCGCAGCCTCTTGGCCTCACGTACCTGGCGCAGATGGACCCAACGACGAACTTTCCCGTCATCGACGTCTTCCTCAACCACCGAACGCGCCGCCCGCGGGGCGACGGCATCCTCCGCTTCACGACGGCCCAAGGCGCGGGCGACGCAGTCACCACCCTCCATAGTGCGATCGCGCATACAACTTTGCACTCTGACGTCGTATGTACTAGACAAGCAGGCGCGGCCGCATTTGCCGGTGCTCCACGCTCGACTGCTGGATTCCGCCACCTTTGCGCTATTAACCGCTCAGATTTATGCGCCGAGGACGCTATGGACGTGCGCAACCTGTCGGCGTGAGATTTCTTGCTGGCGCAGCGCCTGTGATGAGTGCAAGCAGCCCCGCATACGACCCGCCGCGTGCAGCGAGCTCTTCCCGACCGACTGGCTTTGTCCACTGTACGTGGCGTGGTAATGATTTATCTCACTAGGAGTGGTGCGTAGTTGTATCAGCGCTAACCCCACCGAAGCCGTCAATTGCAGTGGCTGTCGCCAGCCACGTTTGCTGAAGTAATCACGTTAAACTACCGAGGGCCGCCGCTACCCGCTCGAGCTTTTGAATCGACGACTCGAGTGCGTCCGTTGCGGTGGTCGTTAGCGTGATCTCGGGCTCGAGGCGCGCTGCGCAGTCGTCGAGCACCTTGCGCACGTGCTTGGAGGCCTTGCGCGAGGCCAGCCGCATGCGCCGCGCGGTCGCCATGTGCCTACGACCTGATATCGGCAACACGCTAAACAAGTTAAGGCGTCGTACGCGTGGAGGCGCAGCGTGATTTTGTGCTTGTCGACGCCGGCGCGCTGGCAGCGCCAGATCGTCTGCATGACAGCCGCAGCATTGTCGCGCGCGCACACCGTGTCATCGCGCTCAGTGATGGTGCGCATCGTGTCTTCTTCGGCCAGCGTGATGAGGAGCGCGTCGACAAACACGACGCGGAGCAGCGAATTGAACACAAGACCGCCGAGGACGCCGCCAACGAGGCAGAAGAAGCGCCCGGCGGTCGTAATCGGCACGACCTCGCCATAGCCCACCGTCGCCTAGCCAGTATTCCATTGGATGGGACCACGTGTGTGTCGACGCACCATCGTCACGATCGAGATCCACAGCGCGTCCGCAAACGAGTTGACGTTTGGGTTGAGCGTCCTAAAGAATGGTGATCGTTTTCAAGCCAGAGTGATGGTACCCTTCGATCTGGATGATCGCAATGGAGGTCACGATGAGGTTGACGAGAAGCGCCAAGGAGGCAAATGTCGCGGGGTACACGTGGAAGAGGTACTTGATCGAGAAGAACGGCGACGACGACTTGACGTTGTGGATCGCTCCTGCGCCAATCATCCTGCTTCGTCTTTATGTTTTTGAGCTCAAAAGTACCGAGAAAGGCGACGCTGTTGGTGTTGAAGCCGAGGACGTTGCGCACGAGGCGTCCGAAGACGTAGACGCGCACGAGCACGACGAGGCCTGTCATAGATCTCATATGGTGGCGATAGAAGCTGAGAGTACCAAACTGGTTGAGATTGTACGCTATCTCAACATAGCAGTGGCCTTGGTCGAGAAGGAGACCCGTCGCGCACACAGAGTCGACTGCTCCCTGCATTAGCGAATAAATGGAATGCTTTGTCACTACGTGCGAGGTACCTGGGTCGCGGCCGATATGTACTGATGTACGAGCACGGTGTAGTCGAGGCGTGGCAGCATGTGTACGACAAACACGATCGTTTCCAGCACGTAGAGCCTACGCCCATGAAGCGACATTGCGATTATACAAGCGGAGCGCACCAGCGCTTGGTGAATGCTCGGTGGTAGAGGCGCGTGCGCGGGTCGAGCTGCCCGGACGTGACTTCAATGGCACAAATGCCATCTACGACTCGAGAATGGGCCGCCAGTGCATCGACTGTGGTCGCAAACCGTAGCGTAGGTAGATGAGCACGACGAGCGCCAATGTGACGATAGTGAGAAAGGTTTTGGTGAGGGTCAGCGACGCCGCTGTCTCTGCGTTGGGCAGTCCGTTCAGCCACGAGCCGTAGCTCCAGTACAACTGCAATAGTCTTAGCGTTCATCGGAATCTGGTGGCGTACCTTCATGATGGCCGACTCGCCGAGGATGCTTATGAAAGCGAGAACGCCGATCCAGTTTTCGATGCGGCGCTGGCTCGCGTACATCTAGTTGGATCGTTGACGAGCCAATTGGGAATCTGAATTCGTACGTTCTTGAGACGGTTGATTCGCTGCAGCTCGACGACGGTCGTTTGCCACAGCTCGTCGTTGACGAGCATGCGCTGCTTGAGCTAGATATCGGCGCTGAGTACGAGACGTCTGGATTCGCGCCAGACCTGCAACCGGTAGAGCTCGTCGCGCGGTTGGATCGCGTTGCGGCGCGTGGGGCGGAGGCGCTTGGCGATGTAGCGCACGCTTCTCGCTGGCAGCATCACCTGCACGTCCATGAGGCTAAGGCGAGGCATCGCAACTCGTAAAATTAGACAGGCTACTCCAACAATCCATCGCCAAGTCTATTTATACCCTATATATGCAATTGAGTTTGGAGGTTGGAATTTGAGTTTGGAGTTGGCGACGACAAGAAGAATACAAAGCGTTAAGTTGATTAGATAAGTGACGCGCCTACACGCAGTGCGTGATGACGCGGTAGACGAGCGAGTGCTCGACGAGGTACTTGTGCTTCTTGACGTGGACGGACGCGCCGACGATCGGGATCGAGCGCAGGAAAAGTGACATGCTGCACGCGATCTGGACGCAAGTGACGCACTGCCGCCACTTGTCGACCGCCGCTTCCATCTCGAGGCGTCCGGACGACGAGAACGCGCCGAGGAGGAAGCAGAGCACGAGGCCGAGGAGCGTGTTGACGCCGTATGGAGCCAAAACACTGATGGCGAAGAAGCCCATCATGACGGCCATGACGGCAGTGAGCGTCCACTGGCCGGCGGTCGCAAAGGCATACGCCGCGGCGTGGCCGGCGCTGAGCACCGCGCGCGCCCAGAGCTCAGCGTAGAGAAGACCGAACGCCAATGGCTTCCAGAGAGCGACGACTGCCGTCACGAAGAGCACATCCAAGATCTTGTTCTCGAGGAACTTGTAGCCGAGGAAGCGGCCGAGGCTCGTGCGGTACGCGTGGGCGCCCCAACGGACAGGCGGGACCACGGCGCGGGTCGTAAAGCTCTTCTTCTTGGCCCAGGCGTAGGCGTCGGCCTTGCCGAGTTCGTAGAGCCACTGGATGCTCTCGGGCGCCGGCGGGTACACGGCCCACCACATGGGCACGTACTGCGACGGCTTGATGTCGGCCTGCGTGCAGTAGAACGGGCTGACGGTGATTGTCGTCTCGTCCACGACGGGCTGAAAGTCAAAGATGCCGCCGTCGAAGACCCACTCGCCGTTGAGGTGGAACGGGAAGCCCGCGATCGGTGTCGCGCAGCACGACGCCAGCACCGCTTTCACGCCATGCTCGGCGTCCGAGAAGGTGCTCACGCGGCGCGAGCGCCACTTGGAGATGCTCGAGTAGACAACGATGCATTTTTGCGTCGCATTGAGCTCCGTGATGCGCTGAAAGTTGCCGTACCGACGAACGGCCTCGCGCAGGTAGGCGCGCACGTTGCAGGCACCTGCGAGCGACGCCCGGGCGAGCGGCACAAAGTCGTTGACGACGCCATGCACCATGGCGTCGAAGTCGCCATCGAGCGCAAGGCCGAGCGCGGCGAGCGAGCCGCCGGACGAGCCAAGGACCGTCGCGTCGCGGTGGAGGCCAAGGTCTTGGAGCGCTTTAGCGACGCCAAAGTGGTAGGTCTTGAGCCAGCCAGAGCAGGCAAAGGAGTAGCTGGATGGGCGAGCGGTCATCTTGCTATGAGTTCGTAGTTGCTGGATCACTGCAAGTCCGTGACTGCGGACGGTGTCGTCGACGTTCGAGCTGGGCACAATACTGTACCGAGGTTCAACGTGGCCGCTTGTGGCTCAAGCACCAAGGACCCTACGAAATCGCATGTGATTGGCTCCTGCACTGTTGTTCCGGCGTTTGATTGGTGTAGAAATTTTCAAGGCATTTGATTGGCCCTCTGGATGACGTCATCGGTCCCGCCACTGCGTCGCCGATCGAGTCACGCCCGGCGGCACGTGATTCCCGGCTAGTGGCCAAGTGAGCTTGTGACGCGCTGTCGTCACATGGCTGTGATTGGCTAACATAGTGAGTGACAGAGACGAGTCAGGGCACGCTGATTGGCTAAACATCAAACTGGTCAGATCTTTGGTCATTTCAGAGGCGGTTTCCAGTGCGCGCACTTGTACCGCAGTTTGCATTGCATGGGCAGAAGGCGCGTTGGAACGCCCCGAGGGGCAGCAGATTCTCTCAAAAGATACGATGCGTCTACACTACCTAGAGACTCTAGAGACGTAGGCAACTGGGGTCATTACATAGCTCTGGTCGCTTCCTTGATAACGCGATCTTCGGAACCCACCAGCCGTTTCGAACGGAATCCTTTGTGGACAAAGCGCAGAAGCCTCGTTTTACGAACCTCTTTCGACGTTCTCGAACAAAATGACACCGTATTGGTCCGATTTTGATGATTCACCCCTCGGACATACCAACATGCATGGCTGCACTTCAAGTGCGCGCTCGAGGTTCGTGCACTCACGCCACACATTTTTTCGAACGCCCCTCCTTCAACTTGACGAAAAATGATGTGGCGGCTGCTTCTGCTCGCCGCCTTCTGTCGCGCGGAGTCGCCGCACGATGCGATCTTCGCGGCGCTGCATTCGCCGCCGATCGAGATCCTCTCGCCGACGCAGAACCAGGTGCTCGAGTCGTCGAGCCTCAGCATTGGCATCGTCGTGCGCGAACCATCCCGCGCCCTCGAGAACCCACAGGTTTGCGTCGGCGTCGCGCCCGTCGCTCGCCGCGAGAGCTCGAATATGAGCGAAAACTGCTTTGAGCAGACCAACATGACGACGTTTCACGCGACAAACCTCGAGCCTGGTACGCGCTACCACGTCAATGTGCAGCTGGTCGACCGCGGCAACGTCATCGCCATGTCGCTGCGCCACTTTCGCGTGGCCGCCGTGCCTCTTGAGCACAGCTACGTCACGGTCGAGGTGGCGCTTGAGGCGGCGAAGGACCTGTACATCGATGGCCAGCTGGAGGCGGCCATGGCGATCTACGAACGCATCCTCGACCAAGTGCCCGACCACGAAGGTGCCACGTACGTTTACGCTGTCGTGCTGGTCGAAACCAAGCAGGACGAGACGTTGATCTCGGTGCTGGACGCAGCGCTGCGGCGCAACCCGTCGCACGCCACGTACCACAACCTCATCGCGATCTCTCTGCGCCGCACGGGGCAGCTGGATGCTGCGCTCGAGCACTGGCGCCGCGCGATCGAGCTCGACCCGAACTTTATCCGAGCGCAGATGAACCTTGGCTCAGTCTTGCAAGACCACGGGTACCTGGAGGATGCACTGCGTGAGCTTCTAGCGGTCGCTCATCGTCTGGATGATCTGCGAGACAACTCGCTCGAGTACGAAGCTGCCAGTCGCCTGTGCTCGCTCTTCATCGACCTCGACAAGCTTCCCAACGCCCACCGGTGCTTTCAAAGCGCTGTGGAGCGCTGGCCGCAGGACGCTCCGTTTCACATTGCGTATGGCAACCTCTTCTGGCGCGTACGTACGATCGCACGACCATGCTCCTCATACCGTCTAGTCCGACGACGTGGAGGCGGCGCTCGACCTGTACCTCGCCGTGCAGCACCACGACGTCACTGCGATGGTAGATCCGCTCTATTGAATGCCGATGTACGTTGCCGCTAGGTCTATGCTGCTGTCGCACGGGAGCGCCAGGGCGACGCGGAAGGCAGCGCGGCCTTGCTGGACAAGGTCGAGCTCGTATGCGAGGAGAACTAACCCCAGTCGTAGGCGCAAGCGCTGGCCATCACGCAGGGCAAACCTTTCAGCTACATTCAAGTCCACCGCGCGCTCGTGCTTCCCTGGATGCATCCGAGCGACGACCGCTCCGTCGATGCAGTTCGCGCCGCCATGGAAGCCAGCCTCGAGGCGCTCACCGACCTGCGTACACCTCTTCGCGTAGTTCAGATACGGCGTCTCATTTACGATGCAGAGTCCGATGACGTCGCTCCGTCACGCCGACGCTTTAGCCTCGGGCTCCCGCTGCACGCACACCTGCGCAACAACAAGCATCTGCGCGCCAAGATAGCCGACGCCTTCCGCGGTTTGCTACCCGCTGCCACGACGCAGGGAACCGCGCAGCGCTTCGATTCGCCGCACTTTGGCGCTGTTGCGAACCTCCCGCGCACGCGCATCGGCTTTGTCGGGCGACTCGCGCCTGCCTCGTGGCTTCGCGAGACGTTCGATGCGCTCATTCAGCAGCTCGACACGCAGCGCTTTGAGGTGTTCTTGCTTACGCTCCACGCCGAGGAAGACGGCGCGGCCAACTACATCGAACACGTACGTGCGACGATTGCGTGATCCCAACCCGACGGACCGTAGATCGTCGTGCTTGCCGACGCCGTGACAGAGGCCGCCGCCGAGATCCGCAGCTGCCGCATCGACGTGCTCGTCTACCCCAGCGTACGTCGCGTTTTCGTAGTGTTTATTCGTACAGTAACTAGCTGGGCGACGACGCAACGACGTTCGCGCTGAGCTTGCTGCGCCTCGCTGCCGTCCAGGCGGTGTGGTACGGACTCCCAGAGACATCCGGCGTGCCAACCATCGACTACTTTGTGACGTCGACGCTCGAGGCCCCGGGGCACGAAGACCACTACACCGAGGCGCTCTTCCCACTAACGTGCGTCATTAGTCGATGAGACACTTGTCGTTCTCAGCATCGCCATGTAGCGGCCTTGGCTTCTTCGTTGCGCTGCACGAGCCCGCGCCAGTGCCCACGTTGACGGTCAACGACGTCCGAACGCTTCAGAAGAAGCTCTTCAACTGGCCTCTGGAGGATCCCATCCGCGTTTACGTCCTCCCGACCGTACGTGTTCTGTTTCAATGCAAAACTGAGGAGGACGCCAGGACATTGTGTCGATGCACGCCGACATGGTCGTCGCCATCAAGCGGCTGCTGCGACTCGACAAGTTCGCGTGCGTGCTGATCGCATCGACGGCCCAGTCCACGACGCTTGAGAGTCAGCTGCTCCAGCGAATTGGCCTCCACAACGCTCGCGTCCAGTTTGGTCGCCTCGAGTCCGTCCACTCGATGCGCATCTACATGCGGGGCGCCGACGTTGTGCTCCAGCCGCTCTACACCCCGCGCGTTGAGCCGACGCTCCACGTACAAAGAAAAATCCTGTAAAAACTGGAACTTCATGCGGTGTAGGCGCTCCGAGAAGGCGTCCCGATCGTGACGCTGCCGAGAGCCTATTGGCGCACGCGCCTCGCGGCCGCCATGCTCGACAAGGTGGGCGTCGCCGACGTGTGCGTGACGCAGACTGTCGGCAGCTACGTGCGCCGCGCGATCCAGCTCGCGTCCAAGCGCGCACTGCGCGACGAGGTGATTCAGCGCATGACACTTGGGCAGGAAGCGCTCTTCGAGGACGAGACGGCCGTCACCGAGTGGACGCGCTTCTTTACTTTTGCGACCGAAGGACCCACGAGCCAACGCCAACCGATCCTGTTGAGCATGACGTAACCTTGCGTAATGCCTGCTATTTGTGATACGGCGTGGCATCCTCACGAGGCGGACCAGTCCCAACGCAAACTTCGTTCGGCCTCATCGATCTCGCAGCATCGTTCAGCGTCCAATTGTCCAAGTGAGACGTCGTTTTCTGCTTTGCATTATACTAGTATGTGGATCGAGTGTTGCGAGGTTAATCTTTACGCGTGCTGGATGCAGTTGAGTCGCTCCAAGGCGAGCATGAGCGCTTGCGTCCCGAGCTTGCCGCCGTTGGTCTGGGCCTATCCGAGGGGTTGAGGCCATTGAGAGTGAGAGTTGAGGGTGATACCTGCACAGCGAGGTACAACTGGTTGGCGAGCGCGAGACCCGGGAGTGCCAAGCCCATCCTACGAGACAATAAGAACTGAGAGAAGACGACAGCCGCGTACGCCTGGGACTCCTTGAGCGCGATGCCCAGGTCCTTGAGAAAGTGCTCGACCATGAAGCCCGGGTTAAAGTCGCGGCGGGCGATGCGCGGGCCCATGTTGTTGATGGACCACGAGCCCGCAGCACCGGCACCAACGGCCGCGATCGCTTCGTTCAGGTCCAAGCCCGCCTTGTGCGCATACAGAAGGCCCTCCACGACACCAATCATGTTGGTCGCGATCAGAATCTAGAGTGCATCTTGACGACGGGGCAACAGGCAGTCGGCTCTGTACCTGGTTGACCATCTTGGTGTGCTGGCCAGCACCCGCACCGCCCATGTGGCGGATGTTCTTGCCCATGACGTTAAAGAGCGGCATGACCTTCTCGAGAGCAGCAGCGTCGCCGCCGACCATGATGGACAAGCGGGCTTCCTTGGCGCCGACGTCGCCGCCCGAGACCGGTGCTACCCGACCGTCAAGACTCATGACCGGTACCGTTGTATTGTACCGTCGATGGCCGAGACGCCCTTGGCCTGTGCGGCAGCGTAGATTTCCTTGGCCAGCGACGGCTCGCTCGTCGTCATGTCCACGACGATGCCACCGGGCGACAGTGTCGAGAGCACACCTTGGTCGCCCAAAATGACCTGGCGCACGTCGCTGGGGTAGCCGACAATCGTAAACACAACGTCTACAAAAACATCAGTCGCGCTTTCATAGAGAGTGTCGGACCCGACTGCGCAGCGACGGCGGCCGGCGTCGGCGCGTACGTGGCACCCTTGGCAACGAGGCTGTCGCACTTGCTGGGCGTGCGGCTGTACACCGTGACCGCGTAGCCGGCGTTCTGCGCAAATACAAAATAAGCGCCACATCGCAGGGCGCAGGCGGTCGTACGAGGATGTGCTCGCACATGCTCTTGCCCATGATGCCCGTGCCAATGAACCCGACGCGCATCTTCGTGATGACCGTCCAAATGATTTCTGGTGAACGCCCGAGGATCAACGTATCCGGATACAGCGTGTGTCGCACCACCTATCCGGCGGTGTTGCATTTCACACGTGGGTTTTTCACTTCAAGTTGCACATATCACGCACATCGCGCTGCCATCGCCATGGTATACGTCCTGCAAGGGATATAAAAGCTAGTTTTTATATCCTGGTTCTACTGACCCATGTATACGTAGATTCGCTCGATTTCGATTGCATTCGTTCGGCAGTCGCGTACGTCGGAGCATACGCAATCTGGGATGCGCACTCTTCGTCAAAGCACGGCTGCTGTAGAAGAGCGCAATGGCTGATGTTGCCCCTCGGAGCAGCTTCACTGCGCGTCAACATCAGCCATGTGCCAGGATGACCCACATCGCAACTCTTGCGTTTACGTGTACTAGTACGTCGAGCTCTCACTTTGGATACGTATACGTGGCGCCCTTGCCGTTTTTCACGTGAGAAATGGAAATTTCCACATGACGACGCTCGTTCCCCAAAAGGCAACATGGACGTCCTCCTCGAGTGCCAAGCGCCGTACTGCGACTGGATCCTCGCGGGCCGCAAGACGGTCGAGACGCGCCGGTACCCGTGCCCCGACCACCTCATTGGCCAGCGCATCTGGCTCCTCGAGTCGCCCGCGGGCTCTGTACGGCAGTCGGCCGTGCCGGACCAAGTTGACCTGACGACGACGCCCGGGCTGCGCATCGTGGGCCACATCACCGTCGCCGCCTCCGTGCGCTACACATCGCAGGCGCACTGGGACGTAGATTCTTCTCGACACTGCGTCCCAGCGTCGTCGGGTTATGAGTGGTCGCCGGCCGTCGACGTCTACGGCTGGGAAATCTCGGCCGCCGTCGCGACGACGACCCCGCCGCCGATCTCGACCATCGCCCGCGCGTACCGGTCCTTCTTCCTTCCCGTGCTGCACGTTCCGACTATCGACATCTCGGACCCGACGTCGCCGGAGGTGCTCGACGCGATCCGCGCCCAGTGCGCGACGCTCGGCTTCCTCCGCGTCACGTGGAAGAACTTCCCCGTCGACGTCGTTGGAGAAGCCCATGACGCTACGCGGGCCTTCTTCGCGCGCTCCGATGCGGAGAAGAACACGGCCTCCAAGGCTGCGATCCACAAGACGAACGCGTCGTTCTGCAGCACGGGCTACCGCGGCAACACGAGTGCGTACAACGCTGGCGGCCGCGAGTCGTGGTCGTGCGTCCGGCCCGACTTTGACCCGAGCTCACCGCCGGCAGGCGCGTACTACGCCAACCCGACGCACTTTGCGCAAGCGCCGGACCCGCAAGTGCCGTGGCCCGCGCCGACGATCGCGCCAACGTTTCGCCCAGCGGTGACGGCCTACTACGCGGCCGTAGACGACTTGGCGCAAACGCTCCTGCACATCTTCGGGCATATTCTGGAGCTCGAGGACCCCGAGACGCTCGCAACGCTCTCGAAAGACCACGTGAGCAGCCTCAACCTCACGAGTCTCCGCTTCGAGGACGACAGTCATGTGGCCGCGAACGCGATTCTTCCGGCGCACGGCGACATCACGAGCGTCACGATCTTGTCACATGATGCGTCCGACGGGGCGAGCGGAACGGCCTGTCTCCAGGTGCTCAACCCCGCGTACGATGCGCGCGAGCCCTATAGTTTGCGCTGGATTGCCCTGGCGGACGCAGCTCCCGACGCGCCGCCATCGTTCCTTGTGAACCTCGGACAGATCATGGAGCGCTGGTCCAACGGCCGGCTCAAGGCGACGCTGCACCGCATCGCGCGGCCCGTGCACCCTTCGATTCTGCGCCGCCGCCAAGCAATCGTGTTCTTTCGCGTGACCAACTACGACGCGGAGCTGCGACCGTTGGTGGGCGACGCCACCACGTACACGCCCGAGCGCATGGCCGAGTATGCGAACGCCCGCCTCGGGCCGTTCCACGACTCGTCCAAGAGCCTCCTGGAGGCGTACGCGATCTACAACAAGGACATCATCGCGCCGGACGCGTACATTGCGCTGGCGCAGTAGCCAAGGCAATGAAAGTCGATCAAGAATGCGATTTCCATTTTCTTCACAGCGCAAACGGTAGCGGGGGTCGGCTTTGATACACGAGCATTCATTTTTCTGTTCAACAAGGCTCGTTGGCATGAAGTGGAAAAAACGTTTTGGAGTGGTTTCATTGGCTTATACAAAAACGTTTTGACCAATCATGTGCATTTCGGTTCGGTGCTCGACGAGCTGAGGCGCTTTGTGCTCGATTTCAAGGTTGAAAATGAAATCGCTCATACTTTGCATGCGGATAGAGGACACTTCAGAGAGCTCAGAATGCTACTTCGCGTCGGCGATAGAGACGTATAGCCAGAGCTACTAGCATTTTAATATTTATTTGTGGCATATTACACAAACAACCACATATGACCATTTTTAAGGATCGTCGTCCATTCAATTATTCGGGAAGGGCTCTCGGAAAGTTCTAAGCTTATTTTCAGCAATGTTGCGCAAGGTCTTACAAGTTCATTTGAACAACAATGCGTAGACAACATATATTGTCTCAACCAAAGGGTGGTATTCATTTCAACCTAATTCCCTCATTTTCCAGCGCTGCATCACGGCTGTACGTTGTTGAGCCGCTCTAAAGCGAGCATGAGTGCTTGTGTCCCAAGCTTTCCGCCGTTCTCTTGCGCCTACAAGCTATGAGATAGCACGCAGCGTATTGCGGGTCGCCTCGTACCTGTACAGCGAGATACAACTGGTTGGCGAGCGCGAGACCCGGCAGAGCCAAACCCATCCTACTCACAAATGCATTCTGCAATCTCAAACCAAGATCACGTACGCCTGGGACTCCTTGAGTGCGATACCGAGGTCCTTGAGAAAGTGCTCGACCATGAACCCCGGGTTGAAGTCACGACGGGCGATACGAGGCCCAAGGTTGTTGATAGACCACGAGCCCGCAGCACCGGCGCCAACGGCCGCGATCGCTTCGTTCAAGTCCAAGCCCGCCTTGTGCGCATACAGGAGGCCTTCGACCATCCCAATCATGTTGGTCGCGATGAGAATCTACCATTTCACGACATCAGCGAGCAGCAAAGAAAGCACGTCGACGTACCTGGTTGACCATCTTGGTGTGCTGGCCAGCACCCGCACCGCCCATGTGGCGGATGTTCTGCCCCATGACCTGGAAGATCGGAAGCACCTTCTCCATCGCAGCTGCGTCGCCGCCCGCCATGATGGAGAGCTTGGCCTCGCGCGCACCCACGTCACCGCCCGATACGGGCGCTACGCACTCGGCTCACCTGTGCAAACGCCATAAAAGGTCGAGTACCATCGATGGACGCGACGCCCTTGGCCTTGGCCGCAGCGTAAATCTCTTTGGCCAGCGTCGGCTCGCTCGTCGTCATGTCGACGAGGATGCCACCGGGCTGCATCGTCGAGAGCGCGCCGTGCTCGCCGAGGAGGACCTGACGCACATCGCTCGGGTAACCCACGATCGTAAACAGCACGTCTATCAGCCAATAAGCATTAGCTTGTGCTTGCGGATCGACCACCTACCTGACTGCTTGGCGACAGCGGCGGGCGAGTCGGCCAGTTTGGCGCCGAGGGCGACGAGCGGAGCGCACTTGCTCCGCGTGCGGCTAAAGGTCGTGACGGGGTAGCCCGCGTTCTAGACACGCATGAGCCTTGCTGGCGTGGGCGCTGGACCGTCTACCAGGATGTGCTGGCACATGCTCTTGCCCATGATACCGGCGCCGATGAAGCCAACGCGAACCATGGTGCACTTCTGTGAATTCAATTGCACGGCTGCCAAACGCTGCCCAATCACAACCCGCGACGACGAACTTCAAGCCGACCAGATTGTGGCCGAATGTGGATCTGGCCATGGGTCAATCCAAGCGGCTGCGTTGACAACTAGCACCACCGGTAGATGACCAAGTTGTTGATCTCAACAAGAGCGCAGCTTTGGCTACGCTGATATTAGATTTTCATGGGCGATGATATTAGCAGGGTGCGCTTGACGGTAGCACAGTCGATGAAGTGGTAGTCTGCGCGGAGGAGCCGCACCGGTGCTTGTGGCAGTGTGGTGCAATGGGATTCATTTCGATGGCGTCACACTTTTGGAGAGTCGACTTGCGCTGCGAGATGGTGAGCGTCTTGTGCGGCGCGTAGTCGATCTCGATACCGAGCTTGCTTGGTCATCGTGAACTTGGTCGACAACTGAGACCTCGATCCTTGCGTCTGAAGCCGTGAAGCATCCTCTCATGCGGCGCCTCGTGCAGACAACAGAGGCTCTTGAGGAGCCAATGGGTTGGTCCACGTCGATGTTGAACTAGATCAGAAGCGCACTGAGGACACAACGCTCGTCGGTCTTAGCGCCCACCCGCAGACGCAAGCGTAGAGCGAACGCAGAGTTTCGTCCGAATGGCTCAAAGCCGCTAGTTCTCGTCCGTCTTCAGCTTGCAGATCCACGGGGCAGTATTACTGCATTGCACCGCAAAGCTGTGTGTGCGCCTCTTCACATTTGCCTGGAGGATGACCGCGCCATTTTCACAAAAATCGACTAATATGTCCCTTTTTGACCAATCACAGCGATGTATTACAAGGCGAGCAGCGGGGATTGGTGCATAATCCAACGACCGCTACACAACGGCTCATGGCGTCCGCGGCCTTGACGTCGGTCTTGGCGGGCAGCGGCGACGACCCGCGGGCCTTCGTGGCCCTCTACACGCGCCTCATCCACGCGCAGACCAAGGCGACGCCGTCCGCCCGGACCTCGCGCCTCGCGCTCCAGGACGCGCTCGTGCACAACCCCGACGCGACGACGGGCAAGCGCTACGCCGTGGCCTTCCGCGCCGTCGACGTCGCCAGCCTGCAGCAGCCAGACGCAGCCCTGGAAGACATGTTTCCGGACAACGACGTCGCGCGGGTCTACTACGTACTGCGCGTTCTCTTGCGCGCGCTCCGCGGCCCCGAACAGAGCGTGGCCGCCCGCGACGTCTTTGCGAACCGCAGCCACCTCCTCGACGTGCAGTGCATTCTCTGCCAGGCACTGGCGCGTGACTGGCTCCCGCTCGGTGACCTCGTGCCTGTGCTCTTGGACACGGCCATTGGTGCGTCGCTCTTTGTCGGCGTCGTCGAGAACGACCCGAGCACGATCTTCGTCATTGCCGAGGCGCTCGTGGCGACGATCAAGAAGCAGCCGACTGACGCGCATGTGTATGCGCAGTGCCGTAGCATGCTCGTGGCACTGAGCCAGCGCTCCTTGGCGACGGCGCTGGACCTTCGTCGCCGGTGCACTGCGACCGACATGCCTGTCTTGGCGGCCGTCGCGCTCGATATTACGCTCTCATCGCCGCTTCAGGACGCGCCGCGCTTTATTGCGACCATGATGCGCGGGTCGCAGGCACCGCAGTTTTGGACGTTTGTCCACGACGGCCTCCACGCGCCGCCGACCGACAATGGCATTCGCAGCTCGTACCGCGAGCTCCTCGAGCGGCTCCGGTCGACGCTGCTGCAAGCGCTCGCATCGTGGGCTCCCGAGCACGGACTCTTTGTGCTCGAGACGTTGCTGCGGAGCTACTGCGGGCTCCTTGGTCGCGGCAGTCTCCAGCTGCACGAGACTGAAGCCACCGCGCTCCTCACGGTGATTGCGCGGGCGCTTCCGGTGCTGCACTCGCCGCGGGGCACGGCGGTTGTCCCTGTCGCCTTTGCGACGCTCGTGCTCGCGTGTCTCTCCAAGCTTGGGTCGCCCGACGACGTGCCGTTCATGCAGGAAGCGCGCCACGGCATCAAAGCTCTCTATGATGCCGACCGCGCCGCGTCCGGACCGGCCTTTATGATGATGGCGCTTCTGCTCTACACCAAGGTGCATGCTCCTTATCTATATTTCATGAAGAATTACACGAGGCTGAAGCCTAGCATGGTCGTGGACCTTTTGCGCAACGTCATCGACTGCGCCGTCGTCGTGCCCGTCGAGCGCATCCCACTCTTTGGCGAGGTGACTCTCAATCTCAATCTGAAAAAGAGGCTGAGCAATGGTGCTAGTACGTGCTCAAGCTGGACTTTACCGAAGCGGTCATGGTCCACGGGCTCTTGGCGACAGCGACGCCACCAACGATTGACGCGCGCACGCACAACGTACTCCACGAGATGGCGCTGCGCGTGACGTACTCGCTCCTCTGCGAACGGTCGTTCGTCCGGCACAAGGCCAACCCTGGCGACTGGCTCTACCTCCAAGTACGTATCCTTATCCTTGGATCCGATACAAATGCCAAGTGTAGGTGCAAGCGGCGACGCTGCCACTGCACCCAATCCTGCCCAGTCTCATGCTCGAGTGGGCTGAGAACACGGTCGCGAGCGTCGACCCAAACACGCAGCAGGCGCACATCCCGAGCCTCCGCGCGCCGCTCGTTCATGACACGATCCTCGCCGTCGCGTCGCTCGACGTGGCGACGCACCCAAAGGCGTGGGCCCGCGCGGCTCTGCTCTTGGTCTACGCGCTGCACATGAACCGGCGCAGTCCGGCCAAGCCCGCGTACGAGACGCACACCCTTCCGATTCAGCGCATCTTTTCGGTGACGGCGGCCGCGTCACGGGCCAACGACGCGTTCGAGTTTGTGTTTCCGCTGCTTCTGCGCCTCGTGCTCGACGACTTTGCCCACGCGCTCTTGCCGGCGCCAACGCAGAGCAAACTGCACACGACGCACGACGTGAGTTGTCCGATTCCAGAGGCGTGGCGCTCTATCGACGGGCTCCAGCGATTTATGCCCGAAGTGCGCGATGCCTTGGCCAACTTGCGTGACGCGTCGGGTGCGGCGCTCTCGCCTCTTGTCCATTGGCTCGTCTCGGTAGTCCTCCCCGCGGCCATGGGCGCGTCACTGCCGCCAACGACGACGACCAACCCGTTCGCAACATTGTCCGACGCTTCGTCGTCTCGGACGGCGGTCGCCCACGCTGACGTGTGCAACCTCGTGGCGCCACTGCTGCTGCGAGGGCTGCCATTCCACGCAACACCGGACGCCGTGTACGTGGCACTCGCCCGCACGCTCTGCGGTGGCCCGCGTGTCCCGATCTCGTACCCCGATCTGCTCGAGGTAGAATGGCTTGCCTTTGGATAGCAATCAATTTGTCTGTAGGAACCCTTTGCCGTGCTGCGCTGCGACCCGGTGGTTTGGACAAGCGCCGCGCTCGTGTCGCTTTTGCTGCCGCTGCTAAACGCGTGTCGGCGCTGGTCGGCGTACCAGGTGATGCGTTCGGCGGACGACGCCTCGGACCCGGCGCAGTTTGTGCTGCTCCAAGACGCCGTGTGCGTCCACGCGCTCCTCGACGTCCTCGACGCGTCGTCCGGGCCCACGGCGTCGCTCGTACTTTTGTGGCTGCAAGCCACCTTTTCCCAGAACCCGCTCCTGCTGCTCACCGTGCACTCGCAGGTACTCGATCCCACTACGATCTGATGGGCAACTGGGGGCTAGGGCTACCCGCCGGCGCTTGTCCCGCGGCTCGTTCGCCACGTGCCGGCCATGGAAGAGCTCTTGGCGTCACTCCCGGACCTGCTCAACTGCAACGACTTGGCCAAACTGGCGTTTCGCTGCGAACTCGCGAGCGTCTTGGCGAAGGAGTACCCCCACGGCACGGCGTCGATCCTGCTCAAGAGCCTGCTCGGGAAGCTCAAGCTCATCTACGACACGGATCGGTACGACTCGATGCAATCAACAGAGTTGCAGTGCGAGCAATCGCTGTCGATAGGGCGACGACAAGTGAGAAAGTCCTTAGCAACGACGTATTGAGCTTCTTTGCGAGTGTGCTCCCGAGCGTCGGGTCGCTCAGCGTGACGTTCCCCGACATGGCCGAAGAAAGCGTCCAGCTGCTCATCAAGCTGCGCGTGCAGATCGTGCACCAGTCGTCAGACCTCCTCGCGGCGAACCCGCTGCTCCTGGCCCTCGACGTGGTCGTCCAGCGCGTCTTTAGCCAGCTCGTTCGCATGACGCCCAGCACCTTTTAAGTTGCTTGCTCGCACTTAACAAAATGCATACAAAAAGGGAGATGGTTCTGCTAGGTGCGGTTGATACAAAACTTGATGCAACCCTAACCCCGACTGCAGCCGAGAGCAGAGGCGATCAAGGTCCTTTGCTGCACGTCAGCACTCGGACACCGAAGAATCATACGTATAAGCTGAAGCGAGCTACGATACGTCGGCTTCAAGTGGGCGGGCCGAGAAGGCGTCTTGGTACTGGTCGAGGTGCCCGACCTCTTGGCGGTCGGCCGCGAGCCGCGCAACGTCCGAGGCGTACAGCGAGCTCTTGGGGAAGCGCTTGCGCAGCGAAATGTAGAGAGAGACGAGCACGAGCGCGAGCGTGAGGCCGTTCACGAGACAGACGACCAGCATGATGGACGTCCGGCGGGCGACGCGGGCGATGCCAACGGCGCACTTGTCGCACGCGATCGTATTGCCGGCCTGGAGTGTCTGGGCCGCCCAAATGGGCCGGTAGAGCATCTCGAGGACGTACGTCATCTCTTGCGCGAGAAAGGCCGCCGACTCGATGCCGGCCGTCGGCGTGTTGATGCTCAGCGCGTGCTTGACGGACGTGAGGACTGGGAGGCCGGACGCCTCGTCGCAGTAGAGCGCGCTGCTGCCAGTGACCCCGTGACCGCCCGTGTCGCCCATGCGGCACGTGGTGTTGAAGAACCAAGTGAGAAAGTTGGCGGCGTAGCCAAACTGGTGAAAGACAAACGGGAGGCCGTTCTGCACGACGAACGCGCGCGGGTCGTCGGCCTGGAGCGCGCGGATCTTGGCGCTCGAGAGCGTCGCGTTGTACGCGTAGACGACGCGCTCCGTTAGGCAACCCGTCGAGCTGTTCTCGGCGCGGACGGTCCACGCCGGCACGACCTTGCAGCCGACGGCTTGGACGCTGCCAGGGCGCTGGAGTGTCAAATTCCACCACAGGCTCGGTGGGGACAGCGCGCTTGGCACCGACTCGCGCATGCTGAACGCACTGGGATCATAGCTGAAGTCGACGAGCGATGTGACTGCGTACGCTGCCGGGTCCTTTCTCGGTGGCGACGACGCGCAGTCGATGGTGTAGCCGCCAAAGATGGGAATGTCTTTTGCTGTGCACGAGACCGACGACGCGTCACAAGCGAGCAGTGGGTGTGTCGCGTTGCCGTTCGTGAGGCCGCAGCCGAGGCCCGGGAGACACGCCTTGTTCATTGTCGCGACCGCCGAGATGCCGGCGCTGAAGGCCCACGCCGTCAATGGCGTTTGCGCCGCGTACAAGTCGCCGCTGCCGCTGCCATCGACGAGCGGAAAGAAACCGGGCGCGAGGGCCGACGTATCGCGAACGCGGATCGCAGCGGTGAACGGCGAGAGCGACAGCATGGAGGATTGCTCCCACTGAAACACGACATTGTCGAGCACAGTCGCGAGCATGCTGGCGAAGAGGAGGACCGCGAGGCCGGAGGCGGCGCTGCCAGGCGCGCGGAGACACTGCACCGACGCTTGGATCGGGTCCTTGTTGGCAATGTCGACGGCGGCCAGTGGGATCCCATCGCCATGCAGCCGGTACATGATAAAGTGCTTGAACGTCATCGTGAGAGCGACGCCGAGTAAGACGCTCTCGGCGGCGGCGACGACGCTCAGCGCCGGCCCAACCTTGTCGTGAAAGGCAAGGTAGGCCTTGGGTGATGTCCAGTCCGCTCCGTCCAAGGCATCGTCCTCGAACGGAAGCAGCGTCCACGTCAGTACCGGCAGCATTATGGCCGCGACGGCCATGAGCGCCGGGCTCACGAGATCGTCGCTGGGGCTGCCCGCTTTCGCCATCGTCACGCCAAATGAATGTCCGAAGGATATGGCCTGATTTCAGTTCAGTCAACCTGAAATATTCTGAAACTCAACTCAATCCAATCAGCGGCAGAGTTGTCTCGAGCTCCAGAGCGCGCTTGCTTCTTCTCGGCAAGCGTTGAGTACTGGGCACCTTGCCACGCTGGCGGCTAAAGCCAAGCCTCGTTCACCCGTCACGAGGGCCATACAATCGTGCCATGTGACTGGAGCCGATACTACCACAAGTGAACTAAATTTATGTTCTGCAGGAGCTACGTCGGTCAATGGAAAAAGTATATTTAAGCTTCAGTATATCTAAGAATCGACAGCGCCACGCTTTCGCTTCGCGCCGAGCAGCTTGGGCGGTGCAACAACGGGCGCCTTGCTGATGCGACTGCTCTGGCGGACGTGGCGTAGCTGCGTGCAGGACCACGGCAGCTTCTCAAGCGTGAAGCGCTGCGTCGCCGGGTCAAAGATCAGGATGCACTCGACGTCCTTGCTCTCGGCCACTTTGCCCTTGAACTGGATGCCGCCGCTGGCATTGGCGACCGAAACAGTGACGCTGCTGGCGGCGTCGGCGGTCACGAGGCCACAGACGCTCGTGTCGACGGAGGCCGGCTGGAACTCGTAGCGGAAGCAGTAGTGCAAGCTCGGCCGCGCGTCCTCGGCGGGCTCGGCCAGCGACGATCCGATGTCGACGCCGTAGACCTGCCCTGGCGCTGGCTCGTCGGTTGCCATCGTGCCGATTTTGCGGTGCCACCAACCAGATAGACGCGGATTGGCCAAAAGATCTTTTTGTCGCCAATTATTGGCTATAAGATCGTCGATTTTAGCCAATCCATGCACGGAAAAGCTGCTCAAGGGCTTCAACTTGCGTCAAGAATGCGGATGCGGCCTTCGGTGGCGGCGTAGGCCAGAATGCGCTGCTTCTCAACGAAGCGAATCACCTCGTTGGCCATGATATCGTGCGTCTCAACCACCGAGCCCTTGCGCCACGCGACGCAGCCGTCGCCACCGCCCGCAATAAATTGCGTTGTCGCCACAGTCAGCTCGGCGTTCGCATCGATTTCGTTGCCGGCTTCGTCCGTAAACGACGTCATCTAGCCCGCATCTTTAGACCCACACGCGCGGTAACCAAGCTCGTACTGTTCGGGAGCGGCTGTCGTACACGAGACGCACGCCAGAGACGTGAGGAAACGAGCCCGAGAGCGCTGGGTACGCACCGAGTTGCTGAACAAGTGCCTCTTGAAGGTCGCTGGCGCGAATCCGCGTCAGCACTGCCGGTCCTTGGATGGGCATGTCACAGTGGATCATGCGCGCCGTCAGCGTCGCCTTGGCCGGGTGCACTGCGTCCAATAAGAACCATATTCATATTGCTTCTTGCATGCAACGTACGTGCGTTGCTTCGAAGAAAGCCGCCGCTGACGTGGCCAACGTTGGCGCCGAGCTCGGACCGGATCGCGTCAGCGACCAAGTTGCCAAAGCTGCTCTCCTGGCCGCGCACGACGACTGTTTGTACATCCAGCGGCAGCTCCAGCACCGCGATTGGTCGGTTCTCGGCGTCGTCATCACTCGAGAAG